TGGTTATGTGGTTATTTATCATTTCCCATTCCTTTTTTTAAAAAATTCAAGACATGGTTTAGGTATCTAGTAGTCATGTTGTGAGATAGAATTATTACTTTCCATTGGAATTTTGTTCTGTATTTCAGATTTTTTAAATTAGATCAAAAAAATCTTGTAGGCTAGGTTTCTTATCGCCTTTTTTGTTTTGTTTTGTTTTTGCTTTATTTATTTATTTTGTTTTTTGTTTTTTTGGTAGTGGGGCTTGAAATCAGGGCCTGGGCGCTGTCCCTGGGCTCTTTTGCTCAAGGCTAGCACTCTACCACTTTGCACCACAGCACCACTTCCAGCTTTTGAGTAGCTAAGTGGAGATAAGAGTCTCACAGGGACTTTTCCTCTTGGGCTGGCTTTGAACTGCAATCCTCAGATCTCAGTCTTCTGAGTAGCTAGAATTACAGGCATGAGCCACCAGTGCTAGGCTGTCATCACCATTTTTGAGGATGAATCTGCAGCTCAGAAACATTCAGCCACTCATCTAGTGTCCCAGACCTGGTTCATATTCCAACTTCTCAGATCTATACTGTGCATCTCTCATTAAAGTGTCATTTGAAGTATTGATCCTGGACAGCAGAATTCATGCTTAAATTCCTATGGAAACCTTTTAATTCTGCAGAGACAGTCTTTTTGTACATGCAGTTGTATAATTGTGATGATCCATTTATATACTTTTGCTGTTCTGATCTTTGCTTGTCAACATATTGGGATAGGATGTTTTCCATAAGGAAACTCTGCTCTTAATGTTATAGTAACTGGGTCTGAAGCTCCTTCTTTAGGCAAATTTATCCAAGTGAATTGTGTTTTAGTACATTTAGATTAGATTGCCCTCTTCACAAATATTTATGTTTTGTGTCATCTTTTTAAAAGTAAGAAGGAGGCATATGTAAGAGACGGTCACTACTAAAGCAAATCCCAACAGCGCAGGATGGAGCCAGCTTTATTTCTGGATCCTCAGCTTCTTTCTCCTACCCTTCCACCTCAGCCCACAAATAAGGATATATTCCCTACATTTCCAAGCCTCCTGTATAAACTGTTTTGGAGAAGGTTCTAAGCACTGTAGTGAACATGCCTGCTTTACTCATTTCTTCCGATTTCACTCTTGTTGTAGGTATAGAAATGTTTTTCTTTTGGGCGTTTTATAGAGTCCAAATAATCTCTCTGTAACTCAGAACTCCAGTGCTGCTTTTGGCTGTTCATGCTATAAAAACATGACATTAAAACACATCAGGTAAATTTGGTACTGCTCCTTCCTGAGCTGATAGATGAAAATGAAATTTCATGTTAATCAAACAGAGCAGCACACTAATTTACAAATTTACTCACTTGAGAAAAGTACCATAGTTTTTTTTCATTTCTTTATTTCTAATCAGAACTTTTAAAATTTGGTCTTTCCTATCCTGCTACCTAATTTATTTTTATTCCTTCTAGAATTTTTATTTCAAGATCTCTCAGTCTCAGATACTTAATTTATTCTCACTAAATTAAAATATAGGAGCATTTATTTTATTACAAAAACTTTTATTATGAAAACTATCAATCACAAAGTATTTATTGAGTTCAATGCATTAAGATCAATTAAATATAATGAAATATTTGAATAGCAGATGCCTTAACCTGTTTTCTCCTGTCACATAATTCTGTGACTGGCTAATTTATAAACAATAGAAGTTGACTTGGTTCATGGTTCTGAAGGCTGGAAAGTCTAAGAACACAGTACCTGCATGTGCCGAGGGCCACTGTGCTATGTCATAATGTTGGCAAGTGGGCAACAAGCATACACAGACAGAACTGGGAAATAAGGGCAAACTTACCATTTTTATTGGGAATCACTCCCAAGATAACAGCATTAATCTATCTATTCATGAAAGCAGAGCCCTCTTGACCTAATTACTTTTTTTTTACATACTAGGCAAGCTAGAGCATACAGCTTCAGTTTCAGCTCCCTACTTAACCTTTTACTTCCTAATATTACAGTTGGGCTGAAATTTCAGTATTTATTTTGGAGGGTACATTCAAGTGATAGTGACTGTTTCTCAAGGAATTCAGACTAGATTGGAATGGAGATATCAGCATACATCTCTGATATTAAGGGTAAAAACTTGTAAAACTTATTTCAGCTATATGTATTTCTTGTTTCATACCACATTAACTCACATCAAAGTCACAATGTAACTTTGAAATGTGAATGGCAGTCAAAACAATTATGTAAGCATTAAGACCTTAATACTTCTGACTCACTGATCCAAGAATGTCAAGATTTTCTCAACCTGACCTCAATGATGCCCTGAGGAGAATGGAGGCATTATATGTTTAACAGAAATGGATACTCAAAAAGTGTTAAAGAGAAAATGTGCCAGTCTCCTTCACAAGACACAGTCACATGGACAACTAACCCATAGTAGATTTAAAACCCCACACTGATCACCAATACCACATAATACGTTTCAAGCTGGAGGGGCTAATAACCATCCACAGATAGGTAGGTCTCTATGCTTGAATTCTCAACTGGCTGCCACAAGTCATCTGATGAAGATTCATGCTGGGAATGCAGCAATACCACTTCCCAGCCCACTCAGTTCAATCTCCTCATGTTTGTGAATTTTGCAGGAATTCAAAAAAAAAAAAAAAGCTAGATGATGAGTGCATTCCATGAGAGCAAGGTCTCTTCAGACATTTATTCAGTTCATTTATTCAGGTTTGGTATATGATGCCTATTCAGTGATTCTTCCCTTGAACAAGTCTTTTTTTATATGTAAGTTTTTAATTGTGAAAATACTGTACAAAGGGGTTACAGTTACATGAGCAGGGCAACATTGTTGCCTCCTCCTTTGTCTTTCCCCTACCATCCCTTCCCTCCCACTTCCACAACTACACTCCCCCCACCCACTACCCACCCTCCCACCCCACCCCCGCCTAAATTGTAAAGTTCGTTGTTCAACAATGTCTTGTACATCTCTTTATTACAATGGGTCAACCTGTATCCCTATCTAAATATTTTGTTTTTTCCCTTCCCCTCCCCAAATTATAACAACATCAAATATAGTGAAAACAGGGGTTATGCCATGGGGGAGGAACACACAAAGCAACAGAAAAATCACATGGTAACTTATAAATACGTTAGAAACAATAGCAAGAAAGAAAAAAACCACTTGTGTCCCTATCTTGGGGTTCATTTTGCTTAACATCATATAATCTGGTCATATGTACAAGCTACCGGCACAACTATGTTTATTGCAGCATTATTTACCATAGCTAAGATATGGAACCAACGTAGATGCCCCTCAGTAGATGAATGGATCAAGAAAATGTGATGTGCATGTGTGTATGTGTGTGTGTGTGTGTGTGTGTGTGTGTGTGTGTGTATGAGAACAGAAAATGGAAAGACTTGGAAAAAATTATATTAAGTGAAGTAAAGCTGGCCCATACAAACATAGGTTCCATGGTTTCCCTTATTTGCAATAGCTACTATTATGTCTGGGACAAGCAGAAAAAGTCTTTTTTTTTTTTTTTTCACAAGATCTACCCTCGGGATTTTTTTTCTTTGGAGCGGTATTGGAGTTTTGAATAGAGGGCTACTTCCAGTTTTCCAGTGGTGTATTGGAGATAAGAGTCTCACGGACTTTCCTGCCAGGGCTGGCTCTAAACCTCAGTCCTCAGATCTCAGCCTCCTGAGTAGCTAGGATGACAGGCATGAGCCACCAGTGCCCGGCTAAACTTTTATTTCTTAGACATACTATATGAACATTTCTTTCCTCTGTTCATTTGTCTTTAAATAGTCATATAACTACTTTTTTGTTTTTTCCCCTACAAAAGCTCCAGAAACTATTTTACAGTAATAAAAAACATTTCCTATGTCTTTGTGACATGATAGAACAGAACAGAGCAGTCACTCTTCTTAAAGGTAGTGTCTGGACATACTGATGTTTTCTGTGAAGAGACTTTGCACTAGAATGTTTAAAGTGATTCCATTTAGTTGAGTATAAAAGGTAAGCGAAATAGGAATGGATGGCTCACACCTGCAATCCTAGTTACTCAGGAAGCTAGATCTTAGGATCGTGGTTTAAAGCCACTGGGGATGGATAATGTATGAGACCCTTAAAAAGCCAAAAGTAGAGATGTGGCTGAAGTGGCAAGAAAGCTAAAGGACAGGGCCCAGTCCCTGAACAAAAGAAAAAGATAAGAAAAACAAAAAGAAAAGATAATCTGGAGTTAAGATGGAGCATTTCTGGAAAGACTTGAAAAAATCATATTAAGTGAAGTTACCCAGTCCCAAAGAAATTTAGATCCCATGGGTTCCCTTATTTGCAATAATTAGCATCCATAAAAGGATGAGCTGAAAGGCTCAAAAGCCATGTATAAATGACAATTTAAGTTGATGTTAAGTGAAATGAACCCCAAGATATGGACACAAGAGGTCCGTCTTTATCGTTAGTGTTTTAAATGTACCATCTGATTTTATTATTATTGTTGTTGTTGTTTCATTTGTATGTTCTTTCCCCTATGGCATATCCCCTGTTGTCACTGTACTCGATTTCGATATCCTGCATCCTGTATATACATATGTCTAATCTGGGGAGTGGAAGGGGAAAAAACAAAAGTCTGAAACAAGGACACAGGATGACCCATTGCAACAGAGATACCTACTGGACAGTATATTGGAAATGAACTGTAAAACTTTGGGCAGCAAGCGGGGAGGAGGGATAGGACTGTGGGAGCTGGGGGAGGAAAATAGGACAACAAGGAAGGGAAGGGGTGAGGATCATCATTGCCTTACTCGTGTAACTGTAACCCCTCCTTACAACATCTTCACAATAAAATAAAAATTAAAAAATAAAATAAAAAAAGATGGAGCATTTCAAATACTCCTTGGTCTTGTGCCTCATTTATATTACCAAACAAATATTGCTTCTTTATTTTAATGGAATATTGCTTCTTTATTTTAATGAAAGAATCTTGTCGCTTAGAAAACAACAACTGGCCGCTGAGTATAACCGGAAACAGGTTCTTCGACACTGCTTCGCAGAATGGCAGCACTGGCATGGTGCCCAGGTGGTGAAGAGGGAGTTGGCTCTTGCAAAGGAGGAAACTAGGAAGAAAATGGATGAGCTGCTAAAGGCAGCATCTCTAGGAAAACTCAGTACCAATGGGTTACCGGACATCCATCCACAGGAAGACGCAACAGCCATGGTGGGCTTGCAAGTAGGAAGTGGAGAGGTACATTGTTTTCCTTTGTTTAGTTTTCCTGTACTTTATAACCTGATATATGACAGCCGTGGTCAAATTGCCTGGTCTAGCTGTTAAACGGTTAGGATGTGACAGTGCACAAAGGTTAGCTTTCAAGGCAGTGTTTGTTTGTTTGTTTTCAACTGAATCTTCTTTTTATAATCACATATCCACCTGAAATAGTTTGGTATGAAGAGAGAATTTAAAACTACTAATAAAAGACTACTGTAGAAAGATACATAAAGCACTGTTTTCTTTTCAGAAATAGGAAACTTCCAAAACTTTTAATAATTCATGTACCAGCAAAGTTTGAGCAGTATATCTTGGGAGACAAAGCCTTATTACAAATATTCATAAGAATTATTACCAAGTTCTATGAAAGAATGCTATCCTTTACCCTACCAATATGTGTATAGCATTGTATCTGGGCCTGCGTACTTTCCTAAAATAGGTATTCCAATGAAATGCAAAAGCACATAAAGTACTGTTTATAACTGCTGAAGTCTTCATGTTTGATCTCCACATATTTCTAAATTAGTTTATGACTTACGATGGGAATTTGCTTTTTTTTATTTTCCTAGTCAAAAAAGTCATATGTACTAACTGTTGCAATTTGATAGAAGAAAATCACAGAGGAGAAAGAAAAATAATCCATAATTTCATCATCTGGAGTTAACCACTAATATCATGGAAGTATAACAAATCTAGTCTTTCTCTATGTTATGATGCTAGGGAGTTGAAGTCAGGGCCTTGAACTTGCCAGGAAAGTACTCTTAACTGTTAAGCCAAAACTCCAGCCTTTTTTTGTACTGATTTTTTTTTCCAGTATAGGCTGTGATCTTGTGATCCATCTCTTTTAGACCTCTTGTCATAGCTAGGATAATAGGAACACAGTACCATGTCTAGCTCTCCATTGAGAAAGGGCCTCTTCTACTTATTTTTGCCTGGAATGGTCTTAGCCATGATCATCCCAATCTCTGCCTCTAAAGTAGCTAGAATTACAGGTATGAGCCATGGTGTCTCCCTTGTTTTTTATTTCTTAATATGGAAGTAATTATTTTTCTAATTAAAAAAATTAAATATGAGAATCTTCATGTTATTAAACTATACTGTAGCCATAGTAGTTCTCCACTGAAAATGTAACTCAGAATTAGGCCTACAAAATAGGAAATTTCTAGGTATGGGGGCACCTGAGTTTTTTAATTTCTACAGTTGAACCTGAGTGCTACAGCTTCATGGACTACCATCTGTGTCATCATTTTGTAATGACTAGTGATATTTTATAATAAACTATAAGCAAGAATTGGTTTAACTCACCTACTGCTAGAATTTAAGGTATTTCTTTTTTGTTATTATTTTCAACAGTATTTCAGTAGGATTAGTTAAGTTTTTGTGTGTATCCATGATGCTTTTATTTAGGATGCTTTTAAAAATAGAATGCATGTTCAATTTTCCTCTGATTCTTGCTTCATTATTTGCATTTCCTTTATTACTAATGAAATTAAACATTTTTATATTTGATGTGTAAACATATGGATACATGTCATATAGAAAGATATAGAAATATACTAACTTGTCTAATTACATCCTTTGTACATTTTCCTTTTGGATTCATGTTCTTTTCTTATTCATAGGAGCTTTTTATATTTTAAGACTATTAATGCTTTAATTATTATATATGCTGCAATCCTTTTATTTCCCTTTTGTCCCTTTTTTGGTTATGGCATTTGATATTGGGCACAGTTGTTAATTTTTATAACATTATACCGTGAGCTTTTTCCTTCCTGATGTTCTTTCCTTGTTTACAAAGACAGTAATTTGCCTTTTTAAACAAGATAAGTTGGAGACAACCTTCTACACTCTGTTAAGTACTTAACTCAAATGTGCATTGGACACTAGAGGGTCCCAGCCTAGCTTTTTACCCTCATACTGCAAGCATGGAAACTGGTTTTAATTTAAGCTTAGTCTCTCAGTAAAGGGAGATCACAAGGATGCTATTGGGACTTAGGTAATGATATCTCAGTCCCTTCCCTTAGGCATTTTATGTACCTTTATGTCAGCCAGACAATTTTGACCCCATTAAGTCCTAGGATAGATTTTTATCTTAGAAATAACAGAATGGTACCTTTTCTGTATAAGGTTCCACTATTATTATTTTTAAGTGAAAAAGTCAGCAGAAAATATTTCTTACTGTGAAAAACAGAAAAAAGTACTGTGTGTATATTTAGACTAAAGGGGAAAAAATATGCTTCCAAATCTCAAATAAAAAACAAAAGAGTTTATCAAGAAAAGGTAATATTGTAAAAAAAAATAAAATAGAGGCTACATAGGTTCCTAAGTAAATGAAATCTTTTTTCAGAATGTGAACTATGAAAATTAATACCTTTAGTTAGATGCTCATTAATTTTGCCTTATAGGAATTCATATACAAAAACACACATGCCATAAAATGTTTGAAAATTAACAGTTAGCCCATACGTGATTTTCTCTAATTAGGCCAGGCTGTTCACTCCATTTCGATTGAGTACAATCTGTGCCATTAAGCTTTTCTTTCATTCTCTTATTTTTACTTTAGAAAGTTACCGTGATCCAAAAGAAACCTTGTTGCTGTACTCAAGGCTTTTTACATAGTCTTGCTGGGTTAATAACATGTCATTATGGTAAAGTTTAAAAGAGCCTAAAACATCTGCCCTGCTTGATACTATATTTCATAAGTGGGTGTTCCCCTGAATAAATGTCCACTGACATTTCTGAAATAAAAGGTTATTTTTAAAAGTCTTTTCCATTTCAGAGTTTCCACATGTCAAATCTCTCAACTGAGTTTATGGAAATTATGAGAAATGGTTTTTAGTACCTGCATATGACACCTTGTTCAAGCTAAAGCTTCTGATATTAAATAGCACCTAGTATTTTCCCTAGTATTCTGATACTAAATAGCTCCTAGTACTTTTCTCTTACTGCTAGCACAGGTAGTAGAAATAGCAGCTAGTCATTCCATAAGTCATGAAATTAAATCATTCTAGAGGAGATTTTTGTTGTTGTTGTTGGTACTGTCCCTCAGCTCTTCAGCTCAAGGGTAGAGTTCTGCCACTTGAGCCACAGTGCCACTTCTGGCTTTTTCTGCTTATGTGGTGCTGAGGAATCGAACCCAGGGCCTCATGCATGCAAGGCAAGCACTCTACCACTGAGCCACCTTCCCAGCCCAGGAGATAATTTTTGACATCATGTTGGCCAGGATAAGTTTTGCTAATTAAAATGCTATTTCCTTCCTTGCTGAATCAAGCGTGTAATCAAATTTGATACCTCAGTCTATTCAATGAAATTTTACACAATGAAGCTTCATTAAAAGTATTAAGCTAGGGCTGGGAAGGTGGCTCAGTGGTAGAGCACTTGCCTTGCATGCTCGAGGCCCTGGGTTTGATTCCTCAGCACCACAAACAAAAAGAAAAAAGCCGGAAGTGGCGCTGTGGCTCAAGTGGTAGAGCGCTAGTCTTGAGCTGAAGAGCTGAGGGACAGTGCCCAAGCCCAGAGTTCAGGCCCCATGACCGGAAAAAAAAAAGTATTAAGCTATGTGCCTTTGCAAAATATTTAGAGGTATTTGCCTCATAATCCTTCCTCACACTTCCTATATATAGTTCAAGAATTGCTAGTAACTAGATTTAAGCCAGGCTTTGATGCTGAAATGAATAAATCTTCTGTACAGTATCAAAAGGCTTTAAAGAACAGAGCTTCTGGTGCTGGAGGCAAGACTCAGTTGATAAAGCACTTGACTTTAAAGCATAGGACTTGAACTCATACCTACCACTTTCATTCATAAATGAACTCATACCTGCCACTTTCATTCATTGATGAATGAAAGTGGCAGGTATGAGTTCAAGTCCTGGTTTCAGGCCTTAAAAAACAACAACAGAGCTTCTGTTGATTTGTGTTTCAAGCATTCTTCAGAAAGAATAAATCCTTTGGTACAAAATTTTCAAATTTCTTCAAAATTCAATCAATTCTTGCACATTAAAATATCTATAATATGTATCTGAAGTAATATGACCTAATTCATAAATTAACTGTCCAGACTAGATAGTCATAAGAGAACTTTGATCAATGGTAGGTGTCTTGGCCCAAGCCAGTTATTCTCACAGCTATAGCCATTTTTACACCCACTGCTAATGAGCATTCTAGGGGTGACTCACAGAGCCACAGCCAGCGGCCTCTGAGATATCCAATCCGGTAGCACAGTGCAACTAGCTAGAGTGCAGGCAGTTATGCCATTGAACCAGACAATGCTGACTAGACAAATGTCTACTCAGTCCTCTTAATTACTTGAGTTATAAAGTGTTCTTTCTCTCTCAGGTCTTTGCTGGATCCCCTTTGTGGGAAAAGCCACCTTCTGGAACCAATGGATCTGTGTTGCACCCTCCCTTAGGAAGAACCACAAAGGATAATTTGCAGGATCCCTTTCAGAATGTCCTTGAGAATACCCTGGATATTCAGCAGCACAAGACCCTAGATGTTGAGATCCCTCAGCATCCTGGTGGTGATGAGAAACTTGGAACCAGAAGCCAGGGAGGAGAACCTGTTTGTGTGGAGCATTTCCGCAGCCGCCATGTCTACCAGCAGCAGCTAATTGAGAAACAAAAGAAGAAACTTCAGGAGCAGCAGAAAACCATTCTGGAGCTGAAGGAAAGCCAGCGGCTGGCAGAGGCTCGGTGGGCAGCTGAGCGAGGCGCAGCAGTCACGGATGCACAGAGCCGCCTTCTGTCAAATCCCAGAGTAGCAGAGGCACCCAAGGGAACCTGCCAAAAGCTTTTGAAGTATGTCTGTTGTGGCAAATCACTCTTTGGATATATTTTGTGGGTTTCTTTCCTTGGAAATAAAGAGGCTCCTGAACTTCTTTGCCCTGCTTCCTAACTCTATGATCTGAAACTAAGATGCCTCAGAAGTTATGATTTGTTTATAGCAAGGGTAAATAGATATGGGAAGCAAGTGACTGCCTGTAAAGAGCCAGTTACACAATTGGCATTTGGGTTGCATCTATTTGGGCTGTCACTATCCAGTAGAAGATGAAAAAAAAAAAACCCTGCTTTCATTAGATTTCTGATTATTTTCAGTGCTGAGAAGCCAAGAAAGCCAACTCCCGATCCACATGGAGTAGCCTGACATGGTTCATCTAGCCTGAGATTTTAGTTCATTTGGATGAACCTAAACTTTTTTTTGATTCTGCAATGAGTCCAAATTTCTCAAAAGTTATTTAAGATGGTTTCAGAGGTGCTTGAGATGAACACACAAAATAGGACAAGTGGTAGGATAAGAAATGGTGATTGATTAGAAACACTAGGACACTAGAGCACCTGATGCCCATTGTAGACTGAAGCATCACATGACCTTTCCATACTTCATTACACCAGTGTATAACTCAGGTATAATAATACATAGTTATCTCAGCAAGGAAGGATTAACAAACGTTCTTAAATGCTTGAATTCCTCAGGTAAAGGCTTTGAAAGATAATAATTGTTCATCTAAAATTTTTTTCTCCCCCTTCTTTTCTTCCAGTTCATCTGTTACCTCTTCTAGGACTGAAGATTCTAGAAATAATTTACGAAATTCTCTTTCTGGACCTCCAAAAAACACAAAGCAGGCAACAGCACCCCATCCTATACTAAAAGGCACGACTTTCTTGATGGTAGCTTTGAATGGTGGTTGTCTTCTCTCCTAGCATAGAATACGTCTGGGACTGAATCCTGGCAGTTTGTAGGTTTTTGAGATTTAGCAGAACTTGATCAGGCTCTGAGATGAGTAGACATGGGAGAAACAGAATGGCCAGAGAGCTCTGCTAAAAAAGAATACACAAACAATACAAATGAGCACACAGAATAGTTAAAGCTAAACATTGGTAAAGATCACCCATCAATATTCTTTTTTGTTAATGTTTAAATGTTGATCAGCTCAAATCAATCCAGGTTATTTTATCATTTTTATATTTTTAATATAAAATTTTATATTTTTAATATAAAATATTTAAGGGGGTGGGGTCATTGTTACATCTCCAGACATGTTTACACTCTATTCCAAGTAGTCTCACCCCCTCTATCACACTCCCTGCCCCTTCCTCCAAAAGATAGCATCTCCAAGTTTCCTTGTTCTGTCTTCACAGTATTGCAAATGATTAGTTTTGACAGTACTCAACCTTCTTTATGCTTGCTGCTAGCCCACTCCCCTCCCACTAGTACCTATATTATTTCCTTTTACAATGAGCTATACCTACATAGTGAGATTTTAATAATGAAATCTACAAGTGAGATATTTTCATTTGGTAACATGTTAATGCACATAGAAACCATGATTTTTAACATGGAACAATCGATGTAAGGGGCATTCCTTAGAGCCTACCTAGTGAGTCTGTTAATACTTAGTGCATGTTTGCAAATGGTGGCTGGCACTTTGTACTGTGGTTTGTAAATTGGACTGTCTGCCTGTGGTAAGATTACTGACCTCACAAGAAGTAATGACATCCTAAGGACACTGAGCCTGCAATCTGCTCTTGTCCACGAAGAGAACGGCGATTTGCATCCACTCTGCTCGGGCAGCAGCTTATGCTGCCTTTGCCTACTGCTAGTGCTGACCAGGAAATGCCCAGTTTGGTGCAATAAGTTTTTTTAAATTATTGTTTGACCTAGGAGTTAGCTCGTTTAGAATCCCGGTCTTATTTTTCAAGTAGCTTTTAATGATTTTTATCTAGAAAAGATGGAGAAAGGGCATCTTGCTGAGGCGCTGCTTCTCTGGGCTCTCATACTTTAATCCTCTAGTCTATTTCGGCCTCCTTAAGGACAGTCTCACTCCCACCATCTGTGGCACCACCACAGGCACTTAATATCTGTGAGAAATAGCACAGTGAGGCTTTTGTTTTTTAATTCTTAAAACTTAGGCTTAAAATCTCTTCTCTGTAACATGGCCCAAGGAACTGAAAGAAACTCTTGGCTGGCTTAGGTGAGCAGAACTTGATCCTTTTCCTACCCATGCCCCTCCTTTCTATAAAAGCTCTGACTGATTACAGAGTCATATTATCAGACCATCTTGCGCATTTGTTTCATTTGGATCGATATTTAATAGACTGTCAAGAACAGGAGTCTGACACTCAAATTTGTTCCAATGCCAGTTCTCAAATGCCTGGTAGACTTCCATTTCCTGCCCATCTGGATAGCCAGGTCTTAAAGCTCGATTAAAATGTATTCATCATGACCCCAAACTTTAGTTTGTTCTTGCATATACAGATGCATAGACAGTAACTTGAGAAAAAACAATGGGCTCATTTAAAATGGGATTTAAGGAATATTTTGAGTCTCAAAATCTCTTTTACATGTGACTAAATTTTTTACCAGGGGTATAATTAAATTACAGTTTTAGTTTCTGAGTTTTATTCACTTCAAGGCCTATCACTAGGCACATTATCTTATTTAAACCATTATTTACATTATTCTAAAGTAAATGCAAATAAACAAAAACATAATCTATAACTTGCTCATCATTGCTGAGGATGGCGAAATAGCTTGGATGAGGTCACAGGTCTTAACCTGCAGAGTGTATATAATTTCCATATATTTAATTTTCTTCTGAGATAGTGAACACTCAATTTACAAGAAAACTCAAATGCTACCCCTAAATGCTACTGTGACATGGAAAGTTTCTCTTGCAATGTTCCTCATATTTTTGTCTATTAAAATTATGTTACTATTTTCTAGCCATGGAAGAGAGAGCAGTTCAACGTGCTGAACGTAGGAGGATCTTGGCAGAAAGGAAGAAAAAACAAGATGAAGAGAAATTGGTAATAAAATTCAAAATGCAAACTGAGGCAAGAAAAATGCATTGTCTGGAACTTAAAAAATGAAACTTAGCTTGTTCAACCTCTTGTGGCAACAGAGTTAAACCAACTTTGAAGTGACTTTTGGCCTATTTAGCTGAATTGTGTGTCAGTTTGAGGAAAATAGGGATCATTAGCATTGCAGAAAGGAAACTGGAAGATTCACACATGACCAAGGATACTGTTGTTGGTAGATGTTTATTTTACTTTTTGCCATCACTCATTCAACTTACTTGAATGAGTTAGCTCTCTACTACCTCAGCCATGCCTCCAGCCTGGCTTTTAGCTGGAGCCAGCTTTTATACCAGCCATTAAGTGAACAAGCCAAGCAAAATGTAAGACTCTGCATTCAAACCCTACTACTGGCACAAATAATTTTGCAGTGAGAGATTACTGGTCTTCATTCACAGACTCACCTCAAATAGAAAAAAATTACATTTTCTTTAAGTAGTGTACAAAAGGGTTACCATTCAGCAAATCAGTTTATAAGTATAATGCATCAAATTTATGTCATCCCTTTGGGAGAATTTAAGTTACACAATTTCCATTGGTTGGGTTTTCTACTTTTAACCACAAAGTATAGATTTATTCCAGAGACAAAGCAGGTGATTTGGTTGGTGCTTGACCTACCTCAACACAGAAGATCTTTTTCCTATGCAAATGGAGGGTTCTGATTTTTCTGCATTACTGTCTCTGATCAGGCTCAGTTAAAGGCCCAAGAGGAAGAACGCCAGAAGAGGGAGGCGGAAGAGAAAGAAGCTCAACTTGAGAGAAAACGAGAAGAGAAGAGACTAATGAAAATGGTCAGTAGTCTTCAGCCAGTCACCTGTCTGTGAGGGCTGTGGCCCCATCCTCACCAGACAATGGTCGAGCCCTCCATATGTCAGCCTGTAAGGGACATTTCAGATTCAAATCATAACAAGGGCTGTAGTCGCTTTGGAATTTATTTTGCATATGGCATGAGGTATGTGAAATTCATTTTTTTGTGTAGACAGCTAATATTCTTTAAAAATGACTTTTCTGTTTGTTTGTTTGTTTTGTTTTTTGGGTCCGGTCGTGGGGCCTGAACTCTGGGCCTGGACGCTGTCCCTCAGCGCTTCAGCTCAAGGCTAGCACTCTACCACTTGAGCCACAGCACCACTTCCGGCTTTTTCTTTTTGCTTATGTGGTGCTGAGGAATCGAACCTAGGGCCTCAGGCATGCAAGGCAAGCGCTCTACCACTGAGCCACCTTCCCAGCCCTAAAAATGACTTTTCTGTATTGAATTATTTTTACATACTTCTCACATATAGGTAGTCAAGGAGTTAGGGTTTAGCATGAACTTTGGGGAAACACATTTAGCTGTAACAGTACAAGAGTCTTACCTCAGCTGCCTTCAAGATTTTCTCTGGTTTTCAGTTTTTGAATATGGTGTACCTAGGTGTGGTTTGTAGGTTCATTGGCTTGTTTACCTTGTATAATAGACTGAACCTTCTTGGAGATGCAGTAAGTTTGCCTTATCATTATTATTATTATTATTATTATTTTATCAGTTGTGGGGCTTGAACTCTGGGCTTGGGCGCTATCCCTTTGCTCTTCAAGTCAAGGTGAGCTCTCTACCGCTTGAGCCACAGTGCCACTTCCGGTTTTCTAGTGTTTTTTACTGGAGATAAGAGTCTCACAGACTTTCCTGCCCGGGCAGGCTTTAAACCACCATCCTCAGATCTCAGCCTCCTGAGTAGCTAGGATTACAGGCGTGAACCACTGGCGCCCGGCAAATTTGCCTTACTCACAGATTGACTGCATGTGGTTTTGACCAAGCAGAGTTAAAAAAATAAATGTAAAAAAGAAATTTCAAAGCCAAACCTTTTTAATTCCCAGGTGCAGATTCCACAGCTCAGTGGATGTGTAAAAGCGTTGTCAGTCCCACATTATCTTCAGCTGTGTTTAAACTCATTCAAAGCTTTTTCCTCAGTAGTGACCTACTTGGAACCATATATACACACTGAGGATACCAAGGGTCAACTTATGGCTATGTGTTTTGTTACTAATTTTGAAATATCTTTACCTACTATTTGTTCATATATTTTCACCTGTCATTCACATTCTCTTGAGTTTCCAGTCATGCTGGTGTTAAATTATTTCCTACTGCTCCCCTAAATCTCAGATAGACTGTTGTATTTCTTTCATTTCTTTTACTTTAAAACTAACATAATGTCCATTGTACTACTTCCAGGTTACTTTATTCTTTTTTTAGCTGCTTCATCTAGTGATAAGTACAATAAAAACCCTCTTCATTTTTATTAATATGTGCTTTTGATTTCTAGCCTTTTTTTTTTTCTGTTGGTCATGGAGCTTGAACTCAGGGCTTGGGTGCTGTCCATGAACTTTTGTGCTGGAAGCTAGTGCTCTACCATTTTGAGCCACAGCTCCACTTCCAATTTGGTGATGATTAATTGGATATAAGAGTTTCATGAGGGACTGGGAAGGTGGCTCAGTGGTAGAGTGCTTGCCTGGCATGCATGAGGCCCTGGGTTCAATTCCTCAGCACCACATAAGCAAAAAAAGAAAAAAGCCGCAAGTGGCACTATGGCTCTCAAGTGGTAGAGAACTAGCCTTGAGCTGAAGAGCTGAGGGACAGTGCCCAGGCCCAGAGTTCAGGCCCCACAACCGGACCCAAAAAAAAAGAGTTTCATGAACTTTCCTGCCCAGGCTTGGCTTCAAACCACAATCCTCAGATCTGAACCTCCTGAATAGGTAGGATTACAGGTGCGAGCCACCAGTGCCTGGCTGGTTTCTAGCATTTTTATTTTGAATCTTATGAGTTTTTCTGTCTCTGCTAAAAAATTACATATTTGATGCTGAATGCTAGAGCCTGTGACATTATTGTCATACATTATGTAAAATTCTCTGATAATTCCAACAACTCTATGTCATGTTCTGATGTCTTGTTCTCTGTCACATTCTGATGATTGCTTATCTTTTCAGAGTGTTTATTTCTTGTCTTTTGGTAGGTTATATCTGTTTTTTGTTGAAAGCCATTTTGCTTAGGACAGTTAGAAACTACAGTAAGTAGACCATTAGTGTGGAAATTTGTGTCAATCTAGCCAGGAACGTGGCTTTGTTTAGAGCTTATTGTTGCTATAGTTACTACTATTGAGGTCTGTTATCGCTATAAACACCAGAGACTTCACTTTCTTCTAGGTAACTTTGTTTCTATCTCCTTTTAGTTTTGGGTTTTCCCTTAATGCTGTTCCCCAGAGAGACTCTGTCTCTTACAATTCTGACACTGTAATCCACAGTTGTTACTGGGGTTCATACAAGTGTGGTGATGGGTTCTAAATGAGGGAAGCATTCTGTGGTCTGATTACATTTCATTTTTTGCAGGGTATAGCAGTGGCCACTCAGCAGAATTTCTGTTCCTACTCTCTGAGCAGAGCTTTTTTTTTTTTTTTCTATATTCTGATTTTTTTTCTTTCAGCTGCAGTGAGTACCACCACTCTTTGATGTTTAAAAAAAAACAAACCTCAACCCTTAGGTGAAATATGGGGGCTCTTACCTGGCAGAGTTTCCTATGTGCCCCCCCCCATTTCAGGGTTGTAACCCCAGTGCAGACAGAGCCTTCCGTCTCTTAAGGGAGAATGATCTAGCAGTTGCTGCTATTCCTTTCTCTGAGCCAGAAGATTCTAGAAAATTCCTCTCAATTCTCCTTGTTGTTTTTTGTGTGAGTCAGGTAGGGTTCCTGTAGGAAAAGCATGCAAGAGTGGGAACTTCCTCCGTGGCTGATCCTTCAGAGCCTCTCCCTGCTACTAAGAGCCTCCTCAAAACAGCCTCGTATCTCATCCTCACAGCAAACTGGGGGTTGCAGCTACTACTGTAAACATTTTATGGACAAGAAAACAGAAAATGCGGTGACACTAATGAAATTCAACCAATTAAGGAATCCTGAACTGAGGAGAGAAATACATGTTTGAAGAAACTACTGTGTTCAGAATACAAAATTCTGACTCAAGCAGAACTCTTGATTTTATATTTTTCCAAAGAAGTAGAGTTTTTAGAAGTATTTTCCTTCACAATCCTTCCAAAATTGGTTTTCCTTTCAGAGCCTGGAATACTCACCATAGGTACTAAATTCTGGGAGGATAGTTATACGTAACCTAAGTGTGCATGAGATCAAGTTCTTATCCAAAAGGATAAAACTTTGGTTATCTAAGCCTTTGGTCAGGGTTTGATTTTCGTTGGTAAGTTCATTCATATTTCAGTGGATACAGAAATTGTTCATTTCTTTGCTTTTCTCATTTAGCCATCACCTTCTTCTTCCTACTCCTTGAGGTGTTTTCTTTTTTTTCTATTCACCCAATCAACAAGTTTCTTGGGTGCCTAGATGAAGATTACAAAGATAATTTTGGCTTCATGTTTAGAGAATGCAGATGTTTCATTTTCAAGAACTTGTATAGAAATAAGTAGTTGGCATTGAAAAATGAATTATTTTCCCTGTGTTTTCTCTTTCCCATGAGTTCTCTTTCATTCTTTTTTTTTTTTTTTGCCAGTCCTGGGACTTAATCTCAGAGCCTCGGCACTGTCTCTGAGCTTCATTTGCTCAAGGCTAGCACTCTACTACTTGAAGCAAAGCACCACTTCTGGCATTTTCTGTTTATGTGGTATTGAGGAATCCAACCCAGGGCTTCATGCATTCTACCACTAAGTCACATTCCCAGCCCCCTCTCACTCTTTCTTGCAGAAGTTTTAAGCATTCTAGCTAGCTTGTCAAAACCAGCCAATTCACTACTGTTCTTATTTATTTCTTGCCTCTGAACTTACTGTTCCTGTTCATTAAAGGCTACAGTATTGAGGATATTCATCTAGACATTTAATGATGTTCACAGAGAGAAAAGAGAGAGCTAGCTGGCTTGATGATAGGTAGGTAGATAGGTAGGTAGGTAGGTAGGTAGACAGACAGACAGACAGTCAGAGACAGACAGGCAGGCAGGCAGGCAGGCAGGCAGGCAGACAGACAGACAGATAGCTGTATTTCTAAGTTTTCTATAATTATGAAAAAATATTCCTGATTGTTGTCTTCACTAGATAGTTCACTTTTTAGTCAATTAAGAGATATATCATTTCTATGACCAGTACTGAATAAACCCAAGGATTTACATACACATGATTCTTTTGAAATGTCACATTTGTGCATTCAAATAGTAGGGCAAACAGGAAAGGCAAATCAGAGCATTATGTTGACCAATCTGATGTTATTAAATTGATCACACAAAAAGGTTTTGAAAGGCTATATGAGGATGAAAATCTGGGGACACCTGTAAATCGGAACTTGTGTCCAGATACAATGGTTTCTCAAGGCATCTTGGAACTTCCTTGAGCTTCATCTCCACAGAGGATTGAGACACCAAAGGTCTAGTAACGGCTGTTCCAAGATTCTGAAGGGACTTTCTACTGTCCAAAGTGGGAAGTGGAGCCCTCAGCGCATCTCTCTTTTCCACCTAAGACATTTGTAGTTCGTCTCCTCATGAACTTTCCATCTGGTTCAATTATGTTTCTTATTAATCTTTGAAATTTTACTCAGCTTATACTACTTACAGGAAAGCTTTTCTTTTTCAGAGCCTCTTCCAGTCACCCGTCTGAGCCCTAATGTTCTGGTAATCTTGAGATTAGACCTGATTCTTTTTTTTTTTTTTTTTGTCAGTCGTGGGGCTTGAACTCTGGGCTTGGGAGCTGTCCCTCAGCTCTTCAGCTCAAGGTGAGCACTTTACCACTTGAGCTACAGTGCCACTTCCCGTTTTCTGGTGGTTTATTGGAGATAGGAGTCTCACGGTCTCTCCTGCCCGGGCTGGCTTTGAACCGCGATTCTCAGATCTCAGCCTCCTGAGTAGCTAGGATTACAGGCGTGAGCCACCAGCGCCCGGCTAGACCTGATTCTTGTAGGGCTCAAAACCAGCCTTTCTTGATCTTCTTAGAAGAATCCATGTTCTAATGTTCCTGAGTGAGCTCTTTAAACATGGTTTCATAGTTACATGTTCAAATGAAATTCATTAGCTTTTTTGATCATGACATTTTTGCTTGATTATTTTTCCAGAAAGAACTAGAGAAACAGAAGAGAATTAAGAGGAATCAAGAATTGGAAGCAGTGGCTAAAGAACATTATAAAATAGTTTTGCTAAGAAATAAAGGTCTAGAGCCTTGGAAGAGATTGAGAATGCGAAGCCAGCAAAACCTTCAGGTGCACTCTTGTACTGTTCTCCCCTTCCCAAGTTAGAAAATGGATTTTTCTCAGCAATATGAACTCCTAAACAGGCTTTGGGGACAAGGATTTTGGTGATTTAAAACCTAGAAAGATAAATGTTTTGAGTATATGAATATTTCTGTTTTGGATAAGAATTTATTTTTTGTCTTCAAAAGACTTTTGTAAAACCTAAATTTGTTAGTACTAGGGGGTCTTTTTAGGTAAGTGAATAGAGCAATAGAATTTTAAATGTTTTGAGACACAGAAAACACTATAAAGTCTAGTAGTCAGGTTTCTGTTGAAATGAAGTTGCATAACAGACAACCTCCAAATACCAAGTTCAAATATTTATTTCACACTCACATGTCTAGTCCAGTTATAAACTGGGTTTATATTGTTGTATTCTAGTTCCAGCAGCTACTCAGAGCTAACTCACCTAACAGTTGTTAAATGGACAAAAGATTTTAGAAACCCATATGAATCTTCCACTCATATATGTTATTGGACAATGCAAATCACTGGACCAAGCTCAGAGCACTGAGGTAGGAAAGAGGTTCCATCTTCTACTCCATTGAGAGGTGCTGCAAAAGTACATTGCAAAGAACATAAATATATAATTATGTTGAAGAGAATAGCAATCCACTCTACTACACAGAGATGAAAACAAATACTTAACAAAATACTTATCCAGCACACCGACCAGGACATTCAAGTAAATGATGAAGAAGTTCAAAGTGGATGAATGTGTTTTGGTTTCCTGATTGGGTATGTCACAGAATACCTCCATGGTGGTCATGCTGGCAGATAATTATGACGATCAAGAGATTTTTCTTGAATCCCGCACATTCACAGTCCTAGATGACTAGATAAGTCTTAGGAAAATAGGTGGGTGCCTGGAAAGTACTAAATGAAGAGGGTTTTCCCCTGATTCTTGAAAAACATGTTACTTTAAAAACGTAGCATAGATCTGAAAGTCTGAGTTGTGTATTTATTTTGATAGCATTCTACTGAGCCTTTTTAAGTTGTCGGGACAGTAAATTATTCATGTTATTTTCTATCAGTGGTTTGTGGTTTATTGATAAAATCTACATTTCAATGATGGTGACAGTTCTTTCTACAAACCCAATTGAAAATATTGGCATTTCCTCAATTAAACAGTGGTTAAGTACATAATAAAGAGTAGTCTGTTATGGAGTTACTGTCCAGTTTCCAAGAGAGCAAACCAAGAATGTTGCCAGCTACTCACTCCAAAACTCGGAGGAAGGGAGTGATGGCTTTGGAGGTTGTTTATTCCATCTCCATTACAAGCCAGTCACTGCGGTCTTCAGGCAGTCAGCCTTGAAAGGTGTGTGGTGATGTGAGTCTGTAACCCTCCAGAGCATTGGGTCCTTAGCCAAAACTTTAGGACATAGCTTGTATCTACCTTAGGACTATTCTTGTCTAGTAATTACCTAATTGTAGACGAGTGTCATTTGCCAAACGCATGCATAATTCCTTCAGTGATTTCATATATAATAAATATACTGCTCTTTTGATGGGAAAAAAACATGTCCAGGTGGCAGAAGAACATCACTGTTTGGCTCTGCAGAGGAAATGCCTACTGACCTGGTTCTGGTATAGTCAGGAAAGCCAGGCGAAGAAGATGACCCAGGCTGATGAGTTTTATTTCCAGCTGTTGCTCAGGAGAGTCATCAGGAGCTGGCTACAGGTATGGCCACAGGACAGAGCCCTTAACATTCACTCCACTGCTCAGTCTTCCAGAAGAAAACTAAATGGGCTCATGAATTCGTGGTCATTATGCTTTTTGAAGTCAAATGGATTTAAATGTGTCAAATCCATTTCTGTTAGCAAAAAAGTGCACGTCTCTTTCACATCAAGTGTATGTATACAAACTATAATGTGCCCTTATGTCAAGTTGTTTTTATAACGACTTCTTGTTTATGTTTCATAGTACTCATGTAATTAGAAACCTACCCCTTCAGTCTTATTCCTGGTCTCTTCCTCTGGCTCTGTTATTTTTCTCATAACATTACACAGAATATTATGTTGGCTACCGTGTTGGCTTCTTTGTGTCTCTGGTGTTCTTCATTCCTTTCTTTTGTGTGTTTCTGTTTTAGTCTTCTCTTATTTGGGCTGTTTATTTTCTCTAACCTTTTGTCTTCTAATAGTATTTTTCTCATTTATATTCTGGTCTTTATCCCCAGTATGTCACTGAGCTGGAGGACGAAATAAGAAAACTTAGTGTGAATTTCCTCCTGAGGAAGATTTTCAGGGCCTGGTTTACGATGGTGAGGGAAGCGAAGATCGATTCCCAGAACAAGCATGAGACTGCAGTAGCGCATTATGACAGGTAAGGTTTTGTTCTCGAAGGAAACACACGGACTTCCCAAATGCTCTGCAATATATTCTCCTTTTGGGATGTGTCTAAAAAGATGAGGTCAGGGTAGGAGAGCAAGGCCTCACAAGGCAGGGCAGGAGCGCCAGCATCCCCACCCACCACTTGGCTGAGAGCAACAAAGAAAACACCCTGGGGATTCCAGGGTCCCATTTGCAAATTGATGAGGAAGAAGCCTTGCTTCTCCATTTCACAGGGACTGTGGCAAGAGCTTGGAACTCATGAGCAAGAGTGCTATAGTCTTCACTATCATGCAGTTCTGTTTTACCATTTATTGTGAAACATAATGCAAATACCGAAAAGCACATTGCCATTATAAATATAGTTTAGTGAATTCCTGTGAAGAAGATACCTGAGGTCATGGGGTAGAATTTGACTGACCCCGAGTTCCAACCCCAAGTTCCTCCTCCAGGTAAACTGCTCCCGACTTGTGCCTTGAACATTTCTTTGCCTTTCTTTTCACTTTTCCTTCCTATGCATGCAGCCTTCAGTGCTGACATTTAGTTTGGCCGTGTTTTGAATATGATTTGTACTGAAACATACTGTATATTAATATTATATCTTATTTAACCCAAGCTCTTTGGGATATAAGTTGTCCACATAAACAAGGATATTTGGGTTTTTTTTTCTAGTAAATAGTTTGAATGGAAGTGTTCTGAATGTCATTGTATTCTTCCTTTAAACACATAACACATAATCAATACTTTTTTTTTTCTTTTTGGCAATGTGGCATTGTTTCTTATTCACTCCCACAAGTTAATTTGGGTGTCATTAGCGATACATTCAGGTTCTGAGATGTCAGCACTATTGTGCTGTGTAGAAGCACCCCTTTTCTCGTTCCCTTTATATTCATTTTAATTGCTTTGTTTCCATTTCTGTGTGTGCTATGTGTATGCGTTTGCATATATATATGCATTCTTGGTCTTTGAAATCATTTTCTTACTTTGTTACCTTAGGATGCTCACTCCTAACAAAAACTGCTCATCCTTGTTTAATTTTCAAGTACTAGAAATCAGTGGGCTGAGAACAGATAAACAAGTTGATTATAATTTTGTTGGAATTAAAATAAATATTCAGTAAGTGAGGACTTGCCACTGAATAAAATGCTTCACCTTTAGAGTACAAAGGCTAAGACTCAATATCCACATGACCCTGAACAAATCATCATTTTGAAACCTCCCTGTTCTTCTCCTAAAGAGTGAAGATAACAGCGGAACCTGTCTTTGGGGTTGTTGTGGAACATGACCAAAGTGAATGAATGAACTGTGTGGCCCATCAGAATAGCTACCACATTTTGAATTTAGTCACTGTGAATGTATCACTGTTAAGCATCCTTCTTACCTGTCTTTGTTTTGTGTCTCTGCCATTGTACCCAGGCTGAGATTCACTTGGGGCTTTCACACAAATCATGTCATCTGACCACAGTCACCAGGGATGGGGCAGATGCCATGATTTCTAGTTTCAGGGAAAGAAACAAGATGTCGGCAGGTAGGTCAATTACCTCGTGTACAGGTAACTCATGCCAACTCCTGGACTCCATCCCAGGTTTTCTCACTCCAAATCATCCTCCTCTTCCTATATCAGTTAATTTTCCTAATTCACCATCTTTTATAATCTATTAAAACCTAGTAGCCAGACAATAGCATCACTAAGAAATAAATTCTCAGCCAGGATCTACTTTATAAAAAACATTTCTATGAGTTTATCTCTTTCCACTCAGTCCCTTGCTCATGTATTCCTGCCCTTAGGCCACCTATTCTGTTCCTCAGACACTCAAAGCTCCCTTCAGCTTCAGGGTATTTGCCTGGCCTGATCCTTTACCTTCCAATTCTATTATATGTCACCTACCTACCTGACCAGCCCACTTCTATCACAGTCTACCCCTCCACTTTTCCTATTTCAGTAGAATAGAAGGGCCCAAAAGTAGAAGCTGGAAGAATGGAATGTGACTAGCAGAAAGAAGATATGACTAGCAGGCAAGAATTCCACAGGGGCAAGCACTGGGCATGAGCCTTGAGAGTAAAACTAGAGGTTGCAAATGGTAGATTGATGGACAAAAATAGAAAGCAATGAAGCAGTTCTGTTCCTTGGAGGCTCTTATTAAAAGTAGTGTTCCCACCCACAGAAATCAACACTATACAAAACATTAACTAAGGGCTGGGAAGGTGGCTCAGTGGTAGAGCGCTTGCCTTGCATGCCTGAGGCCCTGGGTTCGATTCCTCAGCACCACATAAGCAGAAAGAAAAAAGCCGGAAGTGGCGCTGTGGCTCAAGTGGTAAGTGCTAGCCTTGAGCTGAAGAGCTGAGGGACAGCGCCCAGGCCCAGGGTTCAGGCCCCACGACTGGACCCCCCAAAAACAATCAAAAAAGAACATTAACTAGCCAACAACCATAAAAATGGAGCACTGAAATATATTCCAGTGCTTTGTTAGCTAGTTAAGAGGCCATAACAATCCCATGTGAAAATAGATTTAACTACTTGGTGCTATTTGTTTTCTTTTTGTGGGAGACAGAATGCTGAGGTTTGAATTCAAGATTTTGTGCTTTGCTAGTGGGCTACTCTCCTGCTGAGACACACCTCCACCCCTTTTTTGCGTTGGATATTTTTGAGATAAGAGTCTTACCGCAGTCCCCCCATTTATGTGTCTAAGGAAGTACATGATAATGACATACTTCCATATCCAGTTATTGGTCAAGAAGGGGGTCTCACAAACTTTTTCTCCTAGTCTAGCCTCAAACTCTGGTTCTCTTTATCTCAGCCCCCAAAAGGCTGTGATTACAGGTGTGAGCCATTAATGTCCAACTTCTCTTTCAACAACTTAATTCTGCTTATGATCTCTCTCTCTCTCTCTCTCTCACACACACACACACACACAGTTACTACTTTGCCTACTCAAGATGTGCTGTCTTCTGGAAAAGTCTTTCCTTTGTGTGACTGAAATATTTCATATCCTCCAAAAGCCCAGGACACTTCTCACTTTCAGCCCAGGGTGCCACTTGTGTTTCTCTCCTCTGCTGTCCCTCCTCCCTGTACTGGAGCCCTTGTTCAGTTGAACTGCCTCCTTGAGAGACCACATGGCTCATCTCAACATCCCTAGTGTCCATGGAAGTGGGCACTAATCCATTGCTAAAGGCCATGGGTGCTTCCCTGAGACAGTAGAGCCCCCCGACTTCCACATGGGGGCTGTGTTGACACAACACTATGTTAGGGAATTTTTTTCTCACTTGCAATTGCAGACCGGTTGTTGTTGTTGGACGTTACAGCCAGCTTTTAAAATAGATCTAAGCCCTGGAGCCTCAATGCCTCCAACAGTCATGCTCAACTTGTGATTTTCCAGCATCTTTCCCTGGGGGGGCGGTGGCTGCCTCCATCCTTGAAAGAACCACGGGTTCTGACTTTAGGTATTGTTTGGAGCCCATGATCAGCTCCACAGTGGAGTGTCTCACAGCTTGCATTGTTATCTGCAGAGGGTGTACTGCTCCAGTGTCACCGCCTCAGTGAAGCCTGCCCTGACCACCCAGTCACAAGTATAAATAGCCTCCTCCTCCCGTCACCCCCTTCCAGAACTTGGAATTCTGCATCCCATCTCTCACTGTCTGAATGTCTTGTGACTTCAAGACTTTGTACCTGTTTTATTCACCTTAGAATTATTTTCAAAAAGTTTTAAATGTCTTCTAGCTGGGAAGTCAGCTCTTCCTTCGTACTATACTTTTTCTCACCCAAACCCCCGTCCCTTTATTTTTAAAGGAAGATTCTCAGCAACACATTTCAGAAATGGAAAGAGTTCAGAAAATTTATGAAAGAGGAAAGAGTTAAAGAAGAAAGGCGAAAGCAGCTCCGCAGGAAGGTTGCTGAAATCCTTCCAGATTTCCAGATGCTGACACCACCATAACGGGAGCTCGCACCAGCAGTCCAGTGCTCGGCCCTTGAATCAGATGGTTTTGGTGAGCCTTTAAATGGACCGTATTGCTCAGAATGGATGATCTTGATTGGTCCAGAACGAGCACCAATTGTTGTCTTCATCCACATACCCGCATTCATACCTATATCTGGTCATTTTTCTGAGGCACTTCTTGGACCAGAATGTATATTGACAATTTATACTCCCTTCTCTGATTTCTCATAGCTTTCTAGTCATTCACTATATAGCATTTAGCACAGTGGGATCATGCAAAGGAATGTTCTAGAGCACTGCTGTTCAAATATGTCCTATATATTTTTAGTGAAGTAAACTTTAAAAAAGGACAAGTGTTGGGTCTTGCTTTGTGAAGGAAAGTATGTCCTTATGGCTTCATGTGAATTCTGGGGAAGCGTAATTTTAAGTAGAATTAGCAGTGAGTACTGGTGCTGGTGGTCCGTGTTCTCAAACCTCGATGGCAGTAACAAACACTGCCAGGCCATGCCTTTTGACCAGCTCTGATGGCAAACACCTATCAAAAGCTACTCTAGACACTCTACTCAGGGCCAGCAGCTTGATTTCAGAGAAACTAGGGCACCAAAGACACTGTACCTTGCTAAGCATGGAGGAAATTCTGCAAGCTAATAATAACTCTTATCAAAGACAACTCAGCAACTCATTAAAATGTTCCTGTTCCCAACTACAACTTTTAAATAATCCACTTGATTTGCCTTGGAGTCCCCAACTCAGGTTGATCTAGATATTGAAATACTGACCTTGAATTCAAAGAGGTTTTTATTTTTATCCTTAAAATGCTAAAGACATTGTTACCTGCTAGGAAAATCATTTTTATTACAAAATGCAACAATTCAAATAGTCCACACACACATTGTATAAGAAACACCCTTTCTGCGCTGAGATAACTGCTTTTAAGTTGATAGAGGAAATTTGACTGGCAAAATTAAAATTCTGTGGTTCTTGAAGTGAATGTGCTTGATCCTGACTCGTACTTCCTAGAAGGGATTTTCCTTAGGTAAATACATCAGGGGCCTAAATAAATGCCAGAAACTTTACATTTTCTTTCTTTGTTTCCCTTCAAGCATCAAACTAGAAATTGAATCTTGCACAGTCCCTATTTCGAATGGGCCATCAAGGCAGCCAGTTTTTACCTACAAACGTGATAAAAGGAAATAATTTTGAAGCTCCCTCTCTCACTGAACTGGTGTGAAGCCATGGTGTGAAATGTGACCGCTATCATAATGCTGAGGGGCAGAATCCTGATCTACAAAACCAGGAAAATAACCACTAGGTGTAAGGCCAGGGCCAGCTACGCAGCCAAGCCTGTCAGGGCAGGCAGGGGCAGCACTGCTTTCCGGCGGCGTTGTCTTACAGCAAGAGATTTTAGAAGTGGCAACCAGAAACAATGCTTTTCCTTAAATAAAGCACTTTATTTTCCATTTAAACGGTTCAGTCACAGTACATTATTTTACACAAATGGCAGTAATTGGTAAAATCTCCATTTAAAAGGCCTTGTGTCTGAGGTGGTTAAGAGGCTGTGAATACAAGTATAAAAACAGTGCAAAATGTCTAGCCCACAGCCTCCAGCTTGGCTTCTGACACTGTCTGTAATGTTGGTGGGCCAGCTCAAATATTGAATGTGATATTAGGTAAACATTCCTGTGTTTCCTTTAATCCAACATCAGACCCAGAAATGGAATCAAATGAAAGGATACCACACCCCAACAACTTAACCATCAAATCACCTAAAGCACGCGGATCACTAGCTGACCTCACCACAGTCTGACATGGAATCTCGCTAGCGGCCTCACCTGAAAAAATAACAGATTCAAGTCAAAACTAGCTCTCATTCTGCAGCTTTCCAACAGACTGGCTCTGATTTTAAAGCTTTGTCTTTTAAATATAAAAGTGTCTTTAAGAGGCTAAGTCACAAGCCTTAACTCAGAGATGGTCAAAGCCTAGAAGGAACTGGTCTCTTGGAGCCATCCGGGTTTGGGCCTGCTGCTGCTCCTACAAGAAAACACTTTGTGCTAGCTTAAGTCTAGATAACTGTTAGCAAGGATTAAATTTAGCTGATGCTGAAAAAAAAAACGTTTACTTCGATCACAGGTAACAATCCACAAGAACATACTGAATTTTTTTCGGTATGAAGTTCCACACAGCATTTGCTCTCCCCTGCACCGCCTTCACAGTGTTTAATGTAAGACGGCACACTTGTCAAGCTGCTGCTGAGAAGCCAGATGCCAGACAGGTGTCTCCCGCAGAAGTGTCTTATCATCCATTGCTTGTTTGAGAAAATTCTCCTCTTCAAAATGCAGGGTACCAAAATATGGCTCCAAGGAAGTTAAGTCATACAAACCTACTCATCCAGTTTGAAGGGACTCAAGTTTCACAGATACTAAACAGGTTGGAACAGTGCTTCTAGATGGTATATTTTTGCTTCCGTTAGTTGAGCTTCATAATGTCTTAACCAAAGGAAGGAAGTCTGTTAAGCATATGATCGGTATTATGTAGAATCTTACTGGCATTGTGTTCTCTGGCAGTAGAAGAGAAAATTGTCTCTTACTAAAAATATTAGCAGTACCAAGGACCATTGCATAAGAGAACGTGTACAACAGTCTTTCTTCTAGGCAGGAAGTACAATGGAAGACAACAAGAAAACCCTAGTTACCAAAGAAGAGCTAAGAGTTAAACACAGATGTGTATCTGAAGTGAAACAAGCAGCATGTTGTCACAGAAACACATAGAAAGGCTTCGCTTTGGCAGCAGAGTAACCTACCAGTGGTGTGGTCAAGCCTGCTCATGTCAGGAGCGCCCAGCTAGGACCACAGAGAGCTTCAAAAGTATCCTCAGAAAAGTCCCGGGTATTGAAATATGTTTCCCTTTCATGTAATCCTGATCCTTACATTTGTCTCCTTGTACTTGCCCAGCAAAATAAAACAATGGGTCGTCATAATGTAAATGGTCAGGACATAATGGGGTCAATCATTAAGCTCCATTTCCAGTGTGCTTCTCAATGGAGGCTGAAAATGTGGGGTGAGACAGGGATCTGCTTGTTTGGAACCAATGGGGAGGGAGGGTGTCTTGCTCCCATGACCCAGAGACTGGTTTACAAACCTCAGAGAAATTTCCACTTCTACCACCCATGTTTCTCAGGGACAACCCATTCACAGAGGCCTGGTTCCTTCAATGTCTCCCAAGTCATGTCTTCTGCCCTCTGGAGAACCGGGGCCTATAACAAAATCTCTCAAGTAATTTCAGATCATAAAAAGTCGAGGAGGGTACACCCAGGATGCCTTCCAGGAACACTGCTCAAAGACAGCCTAGCCTCATGTCTGCTGCTCCCTTAGGTGCAAACACTTCAGAAGGCTGGTATCCCCACAACACCAAACACTCTTTTGTTACAGGTTTGAGCTTCCTTCTGTAAAGTGACAATCAAGGTCTCAATTACCATTGGACTGTATGTCCCTCCCCAAGTGAGGAAAACTTGAATTGCCTCATACAAGTGACTGCGGAATTGTCTGGTGATCATTCCAAGTGCTCACCAGTGCCTATGGGCTTCCTGTACTATGCATCTTCGCCACATCACATTTGGATTGTTAAAGATTTGACAAGCTGTAATTACAGTCTACACTAGTGTTTCTATGAGTTTTATTATCAATTGCTAGATAAGAGTTGGTTCTATAGCTGGCATTCTAGAGACATGAACACTACCAATTTCTGCCCACATACACTATCCTTGATATTATTACTATCATTCTTATCTAAAGCCTACAGCAGCCGAGATTAGTTATAGCAGAGCCAACTTGAATTCTAATGACTATCTGACTTTGGTCCAGGGAGAAAGGGCATCACTGCAGAAACCACAGCGTCTGTCGACATCCAGGCTTGTTCTTGGGTTCATCCCAATAGAATATGAAGCCTATCATTTATTAAACAATCCCCCTCTGAAGAGAGCAATGACAAGCTCAATGAAAACATGGCAACTGTCTTGAGGACAGACAGGATTAATGGCGCCTGCAAGTGACGGTAGCTGCCAAAGGCAGGAATGAAGGAAGTAGTAGTATTTCTACAACATTTGTAAATATACTGCTAAAGCAACAAGCACAGAATGATGGAAAAAGCTACCAATATTTCCCCTATATTAAGATATATTTAAGGACTCATGAATTATCTTTGGAATATCAAGGCAGTATGTGTATAACACCAAACATTTCAAGATGAAGTTTTCCCCATCCGAACCACCACCATCATGGTTCTATGGTAGAATGACACATTCTATTGAAGTATTTAGTCTTTCATATTGTTCGGTTTTGATAGGTGTTTGAAGGAGCAACATTGTATTTGGGGAAGAGCAAAAGGAGAACAATAATTACTAGGAATGATGTACATCCTGGTTTTTTTCTGCACTAGCGACATCCATGTATGTCGGAAGGGTGAATGAGAAGAAATGTGCAATATAAGTGGGAGGAACCAGTCAGTTCCTCATAGGAAATTCATGCCAGAATCATGTGAATTACACAGACTGAGTTCCGCAAAACTGACATAATTTGAAATACTTATAGGAACAATTGAAAAATCAAGCCCTTGATATTAATCAACCTCCCTAACCAGGAAAGAGAGTTAAAGTGTCCTCATACGAAATGTCTGTTCCTCTTCCAGACACTGCCACAAGGGTGCTAGCACCTTGCCAGGTGAAACATGGAAAGAAATGAAAAAACAAAACACAAAACAAAACCCAGTGACTACTGGAGTCAGGCCCAGAAAAAACAAAAACACAAAAAAAGTAACAGAATACATTAAACTCACAATCACTATGTATTACACTGATAATTTTATCATTACTATCAACTGTCTTCTGAAGATCAGATGATTAGCATCAATCCATCTAGTTGTCACCTCCCCCCTGTGTAAGTAGTTAATGAAGAAATTTCCATAACTGTACAACATGGCATAGGCTGAACATCGATTATCGTAATGATAGGGGCTAGAATATCCTGACCTACAGCATTTTTCTTCAGTCTTAGGATTTTCCTAAGAATACTTTATGCCTCTGGGTACTTGGTTTGCTTTGCGGTACTTCGCACATCCTTCATCTGACCATCATGCAACCCTTCCCGCGGCGGCGGCTCTGTGAGGTCGCCAGGGAAGGCAGCAGTACCCACATAACAGAGGAACCTGAGACTCGGGAAAGTGACTCCACCAAGGGTCACATGGCTATTAAGAATTGAAAGAGGGACTAGAAACTATCCTAATCCAAAACTCTTTCCCCCATATGAATGGGCAGGAATTGCTTCTATCAATTCGTGCATTAGCAATCCACATCCTTTTCAACTTCCCATGGCTGAGAGTCAATAAAAGTGCCTGGAGAAGGAATGGCTCTAATTTTACTGCTTCAATATAAAAATCTTGTGGAAGTTACAAAGTCAGAAAAACTTGAACTTCTCTCCAGTCTGGTCTCCAAACCTGAGCATGGCCCAATAATGCCTGTAGGAAATGGGGGGTGTGGAGGAGGGGAAGGAACACACGCCCTGCGTAGACACTGGAGTATACAATGGATAGGAACAGAGGGAAGAGCTATCCCTCAGAGCCACAGAAGGCACTTCAGACAATGTCCTCAGCAGGGTGGGGGAACGAGTGTGTGCCCAGGGTGGAGAACTGGTGCCAGTTCCGCAGGAAGCCCCTGTTGTACTGGCCTGTGTCCACAATGAGCCCACAGAGAAGGCGGCGCCCGGTCTTCTGCCGGAGGGCCTGCTGGACTTCCCTCTCGGTCACATTGTAGCTGATGTTGATCAGCTGGATCAGGAAGATGTAGGCCATGCCTGCTGTGATGATCACACAGTACCACACACAGGTGAAGGACAGAGCTGAACTGGAAGGAAAGAAAGGCCAGTCAGGAATGCTGCCATCTGTGTCACATGCAGAAATCACTGTGCATTGTATGTTGTTGTTGTTTTAACTTATTAAGGAGTTGGGCACCTTTAACCTTCCAAACTGGAAGATATCTTACTCTCTTTATTTTTTATTTTTATTTTTTTTTTGGGTCCGGTCATGGGGCCTGAACTCTGGGCGGGGGCACTGTCCCTCAGCTCTTCAGCTCAAGGCTAGTGCTCTACCACTCAAGTCACAGCGCCACTTCCGGCTTTTTTCTTTTTGCGTATGTGGTGCTGAGGAATCGAACCCAGGGCCTCATGCATGCAAGGCAAGCACTCTACCACTGAGCCACCTTCCCAGCCCTCTTACTCTCTTTAGAATGCCAGTAACAAGCTTAACTTACTAGAACATGTTTTATTTTTAATTATTGATCCATTTTTTATATTATGTGACAGAATGGTAATTATACATATATATATGTAATTTTTTATCTACTATACCACCCTACAGTGCCTGGCATAATGATGCTCAACATCTGTTTTTGAATGAATAAGTAATTCCTAAATTATATCTAATGTATGAGAAAATGAAGGTGCCAAGAGATTGCTATAAATGTCTTCTCAGAAGCTGCAGATGGGAACCCAAGAACAAGGCTTAAAGTTATTCATCTCTTTTCTTTCTCAGCCTAATGCTGAATGAGCACAAGGAAGAAAACTGCCAATACTCCTAACCCTGAAAGAGCTACAGGAGCCATAACATTTCAAACTTGGCTTCCTGTAAAGACAAATGGAATCATAGAGGGTAAGAAAGCTCCTTTTCAGGCTCATCATAATGAGACAAAGGAGGGGCTGCAGATCAATCAGTGCACGTGGACTGTGTTCAAGTTAGCTGGAAATAAATTTGCACAGAGCCTGTAAAGCTGAAAGGACCTTAGAGATGATTAAATCCCAAATCCTCACCATAAAGATGAAGTGACATGAATCACACCCCCTGAAGAATACAGACACCTCTGCTTTTAGGACACTGTCACCCACAGTGTTGATCAAGAGTTTCACAACTAATGCTCTCCACAGGTCTAGAAAGGAAAATCACCTGAGGGGGACTAAGCTATTTTAATCATGCCCATAAATGATTCAAACTATGGCAATATGGAGGTTTGCTCCTAGACTAATAAAAACAAATGTCACACCTAGGTAGTAGGTAGAGAGAGCAGTAATGGTTCTGGAAATGAAGAGTGAACAGAGGGACAGCATTGAACCGCACATAGCACAAAGCACATCAGAGGAGAGGGAACAGGGGACAGCCTGGAGGCACCCATAGCACCCAGGGGTGGGGTGATGGGGCCATCCTGAAGAATGTTTCTGTCACTACATGGAAATCTCCTCTATGAAAATGGTCCCCAGCTAATAATGCCTAAGGAAGCTTTGCCCTCTCTAGACAGTGCAGTAATTACTAATAAACCTTTTTATTGGGGGGGGAGGGGAGAGAGAGGTCATGGGGCCTGAACTCTGGGCCTGGGCGCTGTCCCTCAGCTCTTCAGCTCAAGGCTAGTGCTCTACCACTTGAGCCACAGCGCCCCTTCTGGCTTTTTCTTTTTTTTTGCTTATGTGGTGCTGAGGAATCGAACCAGGGCCTCATGCATGTGAGGCAAGCGCTCTACCACTGAGCCACCTTCCTGGCCATCATGAACCTCTTGAGAGGTTAAACTGAAAACAAAGTTCATATAGATGGTAAACCATTCTTGAAAAGGACCTGTTGCTTCCTGGGTAGGAAAGTGATCACTTGACTCTAGAAGTCCCTAAGCCTTACCTGTTTGTAAAACACTGGTTTCATACATGTATGCATGCACCCGTGCGAGTATGTGCGTATCGGTCCTGGGGCTTAAATTCAGGGCCTGGGAGCTGCCCCTTTCACTCAACACTAACGCTATACCACTTAAGCCACAACTCCACTTCCAGCTTTTCAATAGTTAAATGGAGATAAGACTCTTGTGGCTTCAAACCTCACTGCTCAGAGCTCAGCTTTACGCGTACTAGGATTACAGTTACGAACCACCAGTGCTCGGCTTGTTCCTCACTTTCTAAGGGCCAGTTTTCTTTTGACACGTCCCTAGAAAAATACACATGACCACTGCACAATTTTGTTGGCATTTTGGGGGATATCCAGCAATTCTCATTCCATGTTCTATGTTTTGACTGAGGACTCCCAACCTTGCCTCAAATAACAACCTGGTAATGGCAGAATTAGTTACCACTTTGCCAAGCCTCTGGACTACGGATCCACATCTCACCTGTAATTTGTGTAAACTCCAGGACAATAGAAGAGAGCTATAAAGACACTTCTATCTCTACAAATGGTGTCCAAGGTCAGCATTATCCCGTATACCGAAGTGAGCAAGAAGATCAAAAGGGCAAGTATAAATGCTTGATGATTCGATTCTCCAACGCAGCTATTTATCCTCAAAACAGCACAAAGGAAAGAAAAACAAACATTTTACAAAGTTCTTTATATAATTCACAAAATTAAAACAAGGAGGCTTTAAAACAGGGATAGTGTGAATTTTAGTTACTAAAAATGTTCTACTTTAGGGAATTAAAGGCTTTTCTACTGAGGCATACGTCTCAAATACTTCTCAGAATATATCTCTGCTCTTCTCAAAGTGGGGATCATTACCATTTAGTTTAAGGACACACTAGATAAAAAGCAGAACTTTGCTAAAAATCAGATTAGATAGAAAAATCATGGTTGTTTTTTTTTTGCTGTGTGTGTGTATATGTGTGTGTGTGTGTATGTGTGTTAAGCATTGAACCCAGGGGCTTGCAAGTGTTAGGCAAGAACTCTGAGCTCTAACACTGATCATCCCTGATACCTTTTTCTTTTGGCTGAAATTGGGACTCAAAATTTGGTATCTAACTCTTTTACTCATTGGCTGACACTCAACCAACTGAACCACACCTCTAACCCAAAAAGGGTTAGTTCTTCTCATTTTTCTACTTCTGAGAACCCTCTTCCTATACATTAATAAAGTCTACTACTAGGTGCAGAAGGGAGTTATCACTGTCATCACCATGCTAAAGAAATACATCAGAGTTGTGAAAACTTTTGAAAGCCAAGAAGTATTGTTACAGGAAAAATCACAGTAACTATATGAGAGCAAAAAGAAAGATTCAAAGCTATTAGAAAACAACATGATATACATGTTATTTGTCAGACAAATATAGTTCTGTGACATCGACATGTGTACAGCAGGACATACTTAGGCTGTATCTCTTCTGCTCCCTGTGCACTCAGGATGCTCTGTTGGCCAAAGGCTCCATTGAGTAGGCTGTTAAGCCTTGTGCAAACCAATGTTTGGAAATGGACCAACTGTCATCTACATGTACACATATGCCATAGATATAAGTGATGAAGACAAAGAAGTAAAATATTTGAAAATGAAAATACCCGTTTATTCAGTAAAGCTGAGTAACATCTCTCAACACTGTACCTTGTATCTTATGGATCACAGGTGTCTTCATTTGGCCACCTGGAAGGTACAAAAGAAGCCCACCTCTCTGCCAACAACCAATTAATGGGTTATCTGGTAGGAGCTCAATTCCATCATGTTGAGTGGAAAACACTTATAGTATCAAAAATAATTAATGAAATATACCTATAATGACAAATTAGGTTTAGAATTTGTTGTTGTTGTGCTGTCTTGGGTCTTGAACAAAGGATCCGAGTGCTGTCCCTGAGCTTTTTTTGCTCAAGGCTAGTGCTCTAACCCTTGAAAAATAGCTCTATTTCTGGCTTTTTGGTGGTGCATTGGAGATAAGAATCTTGGAGATAAGAATCTTAGGGACTTTCCTGCTAGCTTTCCTGGGTAAGCTTCAGATCTCAGACTCCTAAGTACTTAGGATTATGGCTGTGAACCCGCACCCAACTAGAGTTTGTTGTTGTTGTTGTTTTTTAACCAACTCTATTACAAAGGATACCATATAATAAATATAATTTATTTTGACCATCGTCCTACCCCATCTCTCTAACGGTGTAGTTCAGGCTGGTCTTGAATTCTTGATTCCCCTGCTCATCCTCCTCCTTGCCACCACAGATTATACTCATAAATTGACATGTTGAATTGAAATCCATTTGCACAACTTCTTTTTTCTTTCTTTCTTTTCTTTTTCTTTTTTTAAAATCAGTCATGGGAATTGAACTCTGGGCCTGGGTGCTGTCCCGCAGCTCTTCAGCTCAAGGTAAGTGCTCTACTACTTGAGCCATAGCGCCGCTTCTGGTTTTCTGAGTGTTTTATTGGAAATAAGAGTCTCACAGACTTTCCTGCCCGGACTAGCTTTGAACCGAGATCCTCAGATCTCCACCTCCTGAGTAGCTAGGATTACAGGCGTGAGCCAGCTTTTGCACAACTTCTTAAAGATCATTTTTTTTTAAATTAAAGGATACAGAAACAATGGGACAAAGAGTGAACTAATTCAGCAGTGACTAGACACTAGACACTACGTTGGAAATGAACTATAGAACTTGGGGGGAAAGAGGTTAGGAGGGAAAAAAATAAGGAGCTAATACTGTTCAAAAAGAAATATACTCATTTTGTAACTGTAAAGCCTCTGTGTATCACCTTTACAATAAACATTTTTTTAAAGTTAAAGATAAAACAATAGCTCAAAAGAAAACTGGAAAAAAAAACAAGAGCAAACAAACAGAACCCACCCAAGCATTTTTGCTTTTCTCCTTCAGGAAATGACTAAAGGAAGTAAACTTGTGAAATTCAAAAAACTCATGACTAAGTGAGAATATCCTAGCAGCCTCCAAATATCTACAAGGTGTAAATGTGGGAAGGAGAGAAACGTTAGTATAGCACCAAGGAAGATCAAATATGGCTCCAAAGCTGTATGTGAATTTACACTTTCCGGGGCCTCTAAATTTTTTCCAACATACCAGACACAGTGATGATCCATCCTCCTCACACAGATGCCACAAATGCGGCAATGCCAGGCCCGGGCAGGTCTCACCAGCTGACACTTGGCACACCAGTCCTCTTTCACCTTGGTGGGACTTCCAGTCACCATGCGGGAGGAGACCTTAAGGTCATCCTTCAGCGTGCGATTGTTGAGACTACTAGACGCATCTGCTCCGGGGAACCCTTTGGTCTTCTCCTGCCCTTTTTTGTTCAGGCATTCAATTTGGCTACTGCTTAGGGATTTGTCATTGCTTGCTGGATTGTTGAGGTAGCCTGGATTCTTCTTGGCTCTGTACAAGGCTAAGAGTATCAGGAGTAACCCGCAGGTAAGAACAGCCAGCTGAGTGGACCCTACCTGCCCTTTGGGGACCACCTCCCTCAGAAACACATAGTACATGTAGCCCAGTGAAAACAGTCCAAGGCTCAGGAAAAACAGAGTCTGTTCTTTCCTTCTGTGAGTGAGGTAGTAATACCACAGTGCCAGCACAGGAAGGGAGGTCAACACCAGTACTCCTAGCAGGAAATGCCAGGAAGCCACGTGAAGGAAGACAGGCAGAAGGACGAGCGGAGGAATGATGCTAATGTTAACTTTTTTGGCTCCTCTAAGCCAAGGAATTCGGAGGCGATCGGAAATTGTATCCATGATTCTTTCACAAGTCTCTGGCTGCATTGATTTACAAGTAAGCCATCTATTCAAAAAGAGCACAAAGAAAAAGCACTTCTTATGGATTTGTTGAATTAAAACCTATAGAACACTGAATACCAAACAGCAGGATAAATAATAAAAGGAACCAAAGGCCAAGCATTTATTTCAATACTACTAAACATGAGCTTTTCAGATTCATGTATCATTTTGAAGAATAGAGACAAGAAGATAATGTTTAGAAAGTTAACAGTTAAGATTAGTCCTTAAACAAATACATAAGCATGTAATAGGTATACAAATATATTCCATACAAATAATGTCTTGATCTGAATGGGTATATGGCCCAAATGATCAAGAAAATCACAATCTAGTCCTGTGACAACATGGGAATTCAGAACATTTTAGGTAAATAAATGACAAAGCAACAACAACAAAAAAAGCAATTTTTTTTCTTTCTTTTTTTTGTGCCAGTCCTGGGGCTTGAATTGAGTGAGGGCTTGGGTGCTGTCCCTGAGCTTTTTTGCTCAATGTTAGTGCTCTACCATTTGAGACACATCTCCACTTCTGGCTTTTTGGTAGCTTTAACTGGAGGTAAGAGACTCACAGACTTTCTTGCCTGGCTAGCTTTGAACCACCATCCTCAGATCTCAGACTCCTGAGTAACTAGAATAACAGGCATGAGCCACTGGTGCCCAACTTAACTAATTCTTATGCTCAAATGTTACGAAAACTCAGAAGAGGGGGACTACTTCTGGGTGAAGTCATTGGGAATTTAGTGGAAAAGTGATATCTGAGTTTTACCATGGTGGTTAGTTAGCATTTATTTCCATAAGAAGAGAGGAAGGGAGAAAGGTGTTAACAGTGAGGGGAAATTAATGCAAGTCTGTTTTGTGTCCAGGAAATAACTAGTCCATAGGCACATGAGTCTGCATAAAAAGGAGACCAGCCAGGCCCCAGTGGTTTACTCCTGGAATCCTAGCTACTCAGGAGGCTGAGATCTAAGAATCACAGTTCAAAGTCGAAGCCAGTCTAGGCAGGATAGTCTGTGAGACTCCCATCTCTACTAAAGTACAAAAAGAAACCAGAACTGGAGCTGTGGCTCAAGTGGTAGAGCGCTAGCCTTGAGCAAAAAGGTCAAGGACACTGCCCAGGCCTAGAGTTCAAGATCCATGACTGGCAAAAAAATAAGACCAAACTAGAATGAATCCAATGACAAATACAGTAAACAGATGATGTTTGCTATTTTTTTTTTGCAAACCTAGATTATGTTGGAATCAATGCTTGTTTCCCCCAAAGCTCCTGTGCAAACCAAACCCCCAACACATGGAGAGATGGGGTTATCATGCATAGTGGTATACCCTTGTAATCCTGGCTATTTTGTAGGCTGAAGCAAATGGATTCCTTGAGCCCAGCAGTTTCAAAACCAAACAGTGCAACATAGTAAGACCCTATGAAAGAGAAGAGACAGACAGAATTACAGAACCTTTAGGAAGTTATCTGCATGAGAGCAGAATCATGAATGGGACACCCTCATGAGTTCACTCTTCCCAGCATGGAAGAATGCAGTAAGAAAGTACTACCTATGGGCTGGGAAGTTGGCTCAGTGGTAGAGTGCTTGCCTCGCATGCATGAGGCCCTGGGTTCGATTCCTCAGCACCACATAAGCAGAAAAAAGCCAGAAGTGGCGCTGTAGCTCAAGTGGTAAAGCGCAAGCCTTGAGCTGAGAGCTGAGGGACAGCGCCCAGGCCCAGAGTTCAGCCCCCAACCGGATCCAAAAAAAAAAAAAGAAAGTACTAACTATGAAGCATACGGCTCAGTGTTTTGTAGAAAGTAGAACTCAAGAGCAATAGGACTATATATTTGATGGAAGAAATCCCTAAACGAAGTGTCTGCTCTACCAAATGACTTCTCTTGAATACTTATGGTAAAATGTGAGGAGAGAAATGACTTTAAAGATAGAATGTAGAGCCAGGTGCCAGTGGCTCATGCTTATCATCCTAGCTACTCGGGAGGCTGAGATCTGAGAAGGGTGGTGTGAAGCCAGCCTGGGCAGGAAAATGTGAGACTCTCATCTCCAATTAGCCACCAAAAAGCCAGAAGTGGAGCTGTGGATCAAGTGGTAGAGAGCTAGCCTTGAGCACAAAAGCTCAAGGTCCTGAGTTCAAACTACAGGACTGGCGCACACACACACACACACACATACTCAAAAAAGGAAGTAGAACTCAAATCTTTGGAATGTTCTTGACCTGTCTAGAATACCAAATGAGAAGGTATGTTTGAGAGAGAATATTAAGGCATGAATGAGATCAGTAAGGATATGGGCCCTGTGCTATTCATGTAGACAATGGAAGGTAGGCTTGAAGGCACTTCGAACATTAGGGCTCTATTCCCATCACAAGCAGAAACATCAGGGCCTTGATGGCAAATGCTTTGATAGAAAAGGCCTACCCGCACCTATGAGACTTCAAGACTCTCCCTAGTGCCACCTCAAGTCTGTGCCCCATGTTCTGGGTCAGTATTGACAGTATTGACAGTAGCTGTAGGTATGGCTCCAGTAGCCCAGGTGCAATGAAGGCTGAAGGAGTCTTTGGCCACTCCTCCAAAGGAAATGAGTAGAAAGTTTGATAGCATCCATGCAGCAGGCAGAGCTTCAGGGACAGCGCTGCCTCCATCTAAATCTCCAAGGATGTCCCAGAGAACCACAAGGCTGAGGTGAAGAACTTCCAGAGGCAAAGCCACTACAGAGAGCCCTCACTCGGGCATTGCCTGGTGGAGCCACAGGGTCGCGACTATGCAGAGAACCCCCACCAGACTGTGTAGCAGAGCCAAGGGGACACAAGGACTCCAGACTGGTAGAGCCACCAACACATATATGGAACCAGGGATAGCAGAAGAGATGGAGTGTGCACCATGGCCTGGCCAAGTTGTGGGGACTGGAATACTCAGAGCATTTAGGGGTCCAACCATCTGTGTCTGGAAGGTCAGTCAAATATTATCCTCTAGCTTCAAAACTTAAGTGTCATTTGCCCTGCTGACAGCAGTCACTCCTTTCTCCTTTCCTATGTTTCAATTTGGTAATGGAACATCAATTCTATGCATAGCCCACCACTGTATTTTAGAAGCATGCAGCTTGTTATTCAGATTCACAGCTGGGAGAGAACTTGCCTCATAAGTACTTGCCTCGAGTACCTTCTAAGTGGTACTTGAGTCTTATCTATATCTGATTTAGATCTGATTTTAAGTCCACACCATGGACTTAAAATTTTTGTGTTCACGCTGGAACAAGTAAAAGATGATAGGATGGAATAAATGTATTTTGTAATATAAGTAAATGAATGGGGGAGGGAAGGTTTGGGTGGAATATTATGGCCTGAACATTTGTGTCCCACCGAGATAGATGTTGAAATCTAATCCTCAATGCAAGAAGGGATTTTAGGAGCTGATTATGGCCAGGCAGATGCTATTCATATTCTCATAAAAGCAGCCCAAAGGAGGGCATCATCCCTTCCGCAGCAGGGGATATGGAGCAAGAAGGTGCTATCTTTGAGGAAAAGGCCCCCACCATATAGTGAATCTGCCAGCAATTTGATCATGAATTTATCTACTTCCAGAACTGTGAGCAATACATTTATATATTTATAAATTCTCCACTCTAACATATTTTGTTATAGCATCCTGAATGAATTGAGTTAGACTAGTGAGGAAAAGTATAAGAAAAATAACTTTGATTTTGGATAATTTTTTTTTTGTTGGTCGTGGGGTTTGAACTCTGGGCCTGGGTGCTGTCCCTCAGCTCTTCAGCTCAAGGTGAGTGCTCTACCACCTGAGCCACAGTGCCACTTCTGGTTTTCTGGTGGATTATTGGAGATTAGAGTCTCAGGGATTTTCCTGCCTGGGCTGGCTTTGAACAGCTATCCTCAGATCTCAGCCTCCTAAGTAGCTAGGATTACAGGTGTGAGCCTGTAATTATCTAGCACCCAGCTGTATAACTTCTTAAAGTAGGTCTAGAACTTGAAAGTGAGCGGAAGATGACCTACCCAGCAGCTGGGGCAGTTAAATAGTGGAAGCCTATTTCCAGAGGGACAGGTATAGAGAAAGCAGAGAAGAACTCAATGGACAGACCAGAGCTGAAGGGCTAAGACAAAGAAGAGAACAGAATTAATGGAAAAGCCACAGTCATGATATAAACAGCATCCTTTCTTCCTACAGTCATTAGCACAAAGTGCTCCATTTTCCCAGAACGGATTTTTTTTTTTTCCAGAACGGATTTTAGACTAGATCTAAACACCTATATTTACAGCTACCTGTTTCAAAAAAGACAAAGACTATAGATATTGTCACTGAAGAAATTACAAAGGGTCACAATCTTTAGAAGTCAAGACTACAGTGGCCCCCAAGGAATGTTTTCATGGCTAGATTAATGTACCCGGCTTTAAATCAATGATCTGCAATTGCTATAATGACTTTTAGGAGAAAAAAAAAAGAAAAAAAACCAAAGTAATTGTTAGGGGAGAAGCAGGTTTCCTATATCCTTATTCTTCCTACATTTGCTTTCTGTAAGACAATTCTTTAGTATATAATTATTGAGAAAATAGCTAAAAACAGCTATTACTGCTTGATGAAAATTTTTTTCATTGATGTTAAAAAATTTTTTTCTGAGGAGAAATTTCCATCAAGGAGATGGCAAAAGTAAAGACCAAATACAATGTGATGGAACACAACCATGCTTCTGCTCACACTAAAAACAGTTGATAATGAGGAGGTGCATGCCTCTATCTGGATGTCCCCATCAGAAACCAGGGGTGAACCAGGAAAGGAAAACCATCCTCACTCATCGGCCCCCAAACCTAGGTTCTCTGTCAACCAGGCCCAAGTATTAAGATTCTAATGAGAGACCAATGAGCATGCAGGAACTTTTGGAACTAGTAAATTCATTTTAAATGCACAAATTCTAATTGCTTCTTTAAAAAAATATGTCTGACTCACCTCCTATCCCCTTATCTGTTTTCACCACCCCTTTCTCTTTTTAAACGAAACATGATAATATTCAAGTAAACTGAGCTAGACAGACATTTGTGTATTACTGCGTAATTCTTTATAGAATCCTCACATTTGACATTAAGAAAAAAAAAACACCTCAATTTTAGATCCTTGGAAATGGAGCCCAGAGTCAATGCTCTGATTCTGCCGCGTTCTGAATGGCAAAGCTGAAAGTATGACATGGTAGTTGACAAAAGGACCCACGGAGGTTGGCCTCATCAATACACACAGCGTCCTTACCTATCACACCCTTCGTCAAGATCTTGGCAATCACACAAACAAGCAGCCACGTGGTTCTTTTCCCCATTTCGATCTATGTATTCGCAGCAGCACAGGGGCTCCAATTCCGGCTCTTCAGTTTTCTTTTTCTTCACTGGCTTCATACCTGACCTTCCGTGTTTTGACTTGCACCTGTCACCATGAGGTGGAAGTAGCCCTCAAGTAGGTAAGGGTGGCGAGAACCAGCTCACATCTTGCAAACACACCACGCTTCCGATGAACGCCAACGCCTTAGCTATCAAAAATGAGAAGAAAGGGGGGGAGGGGAGAAGGGGGTCCCGTTTTCATCAGGCTTTTTCATGGTCAGATTTGGGGAGGCACCCTCTGGAGCCCCCTCCAGGATGCCTGTCCTCACCCCTATCCATCCAGGGCAGATGCCGTCTGGGCACCAGCCGTTCCCATGGAGACAGCCGCACGCGGTCCAGGACAGCCGGGAGCGGGCGGTGGCGTTCACCTGCGGCTAATGCTGGGCCGAGCTGTCCCCGCTCCGGGGCCGGGCGCTATGGAAACTCGCCCTCGGGGTGCGGGTGGAGGGGAAGCGTGGGCTCCGTGGGCACCGCACCGGAGGACGCGCCGGGCGGGCCCGGGGTGCTGGCAGGCGGGGAGGGGATGCCTGCAGCTCCCGGGCCGCCCCGAGGTCGCCGTCCCGCCGGCGGCCCCGGCTCCGATCCGGAGGGTGTGGGCGGGCCGCCAGCGCCACCGCACCCCGAGAATGACCTTGGAAGTTACCTGCTCTCCCGACGGAGGCGCGGCCATGGAGTCGGGAGGGACGGCTCCACCCGAGGCGCAGAAACGTTCCCCGATCTCCGCTGGAGTCTCGGGGACCCCCCCCTCCACCCCGCCTCCCCTCGATCGGCGTGGCCACGCCCTCGCCGCGGCCGCCCACCTGTGACCACGGCGGGCCGA